CCTTCCTAATCGAAAACGTATTTCAGAATTTCCGCGAGCACTTCATGAGATCGGTCACTGACTGTAAATCTGTCTTTGCCAGAGTAATCCGTGGTGCACTGTTCAACACCCGTTTTTGCCTCGGACTGATTAAGCCTCTAACAACGTTGTTTTATTTTGTGGATTTTCACATTTACGCCGATTTCTGGAGGTAAATCAAATCCGTAGCGGGCTTCTTATTCATTTATGCTTCGTCTCATGTATTCGCCTTGCCTTTTTAGACACATACCAAGGAAAAAGTTCTACCGCCATTAAGGGCTGTGTTACGAAACTGGAGCATTCTTTACCAGGCAGCGATTTGTTGTTGCCAGGCGGAGATTACTATGAATCCCAGTGAACTTTTCCTGCAATACTGATACTTCTAGGTCCTGTACTATGTGTTGCATTTTACAACCCAGTGAAGGGGGGAGGAAGAAATCACGTTTTCACAGGTTCTACAATCGTCTGATGAAGCTACAGTACGTGACCGATCTCATGAAATACTGGCCGAGATTCTGAAACGCGTTTTCGATTAGAGAGGATTACGTAGGTGGGGTTGTTATATTGATTATCATGCAGAATAAGCCTATATTATTTCATACTCGCCAGGATGTCGACCTTTAAATGCACTCCTTTTTGACCTTCTGCGGAAACCACGCTCGTTAAAAAAATGACTACTTATGTAGCATGCATTTTTCACGCTGATTCTCGATGATCGTATAGATTCAAATAAACTTCATAGAAAACATGCACAAAATATGCTTTCCTTTATTCCTTTGGTAGAAAATCACTTTATCTTTCCATTTTATACCCTGAGAAAAGTTATCTTTTGGTTTTGAAAAAGTTTGTAACTGTGAGATTTTTAAGACCGTGTGGTGTCCATGCATACAGCATCGAACGTGCCCGTTTAGCAATGGTCCTCGTGAAATTTGCAACACGGTCCGCATCCATTGAAAAATTTTATGAACTCTAGACGATATCTTCTTAAAAGCATGGGAGAATATGTGATTTTCCTTATGCGGAAATGAATGTTGACTGAAGTCGCTAAACGCTAATGCAACGACTGATCAGGCTCCAAATTCTTCGGGAACTAGTAAACTTTTTTAAGACCTAATTATACAACTCCCTCGAGTATAAAATATAAAGCTGACGTGATTCTCTATCAAACGACTGAAAGAAAGCATATTCTTTTCGCGGTTTCCATAAAAAATATTTGAATTTGCAAGATCACCGAAAATCAACGGGGAAAATGCATGCTGCCTAGGTAGTAATTTTTAACGACTGCGGTTTCTGTATGCCTTCGAAAATAAGTGCATTCGAAAGCCGATATCCTGGCGAGTCCGAAATAAAATAGGACATTTCTGCAGGATAATCAGTATTACAAACCCACTTAAGTAATCCTTCATAATCAAAAACGCATTTCAGAATTTCGTCCAACATTTCATGAGATCGGTCACGCACTGTAGTATGTCTTGAGATGCCAATTATGTCGGCTTGGGGCGTAGTAGTGTGCTTAAAGGCAGGAAACGGCTGTACCTCACTCATATTACAAGCGATAAACTAACAGGCTGGCCGCCTTCCTGCGGTTGAAGGATAAACTTTGTAATTTCCCCCCTTGAACTCCTTGGCACTGGTTCGTAATCAGACAGCAGTATGTAATTTGCTCAAAAAACCTTTTACCCCGCGCTAAATGCGTTACACAGACCACTCCTGACTGCCTGACGTGTAAGTTCTGCACATTATTTCCCGTCGAATTTCTGATGACGCGCCCACACACATTTCTGAAAGGACATCAAGCATAGGGTTGCAAGTTCTGCGCCAAAGGCACTGGCGCGTGCTTGGCTGTACCGCGAACTTCGACGTGGGAGTGGGTGGCAAGAGGAGCGACGAGTGTATTGGTTTCTGCTCCTTCCGTCAACCAATCAGCGTGCAGTAACGCGCCGACGCGTGCATCGCGGCAGCCGGACTTGTACGCGATTGGTTGCAAGTGTGCAGAGTAAAAACTCCCCTCCCCCACCTCCCTCCACGCGCGGCATCTTCGTCCGGGCTACAGAATTTGCGAGCACTACAAAGGACGGCCAGCCTCGCGAGTACCTGACAGACAACTTTATGTACTTGGACAGTTCTCAGACCAGTTATTCCGGGGACGCTAGAGAGCAAACCACTTGCCAGCAGGCTCCAGGCTCCTCCAACCAGTTTCCGGTCTACAATCTCTCGAATACTTTATTGTCAGGTTTTGGAGACATGCATACAAACGGTGCCACCACTCTCCCAACGCAGCCGAAGGCAAATGCGGGACAGACAGCGGACACTGTTCAACTGGCTTCTCGTCTGTTTCCAGAGGGAAGGTGTCGTTTTCAGCTACCATTGGACGTCCGGTCTCCCATGCTGCCCTTCACGGAACACATGTCCGCGTTGCTAGCCTGCCTGACTAAACTAGATTTCCCATCCTTTTCCCTCCAGAAGGGGCTTCTCAACACTGAGAACAGCGTTCTCTCTCCAACCGAACCTGCGCATCCCTGGAAAAGAGATCTGGAGGGACAAGAAGGAGAAGGGGTGCAAGGCGCAGGAAGTTGGGGTCAAGATGAGGGTCCCATGGATTTGTCTATTCGGAAACAGGGGAGAGATGGAAGCGCATTGTCTACTGACTGGGCTTACGAACAAAAGCCTGGGCCGAATGGTTTTATAAAGTAAGTCTGGGTGCTTGTGATGCTAGTAGTTGCATCCACTCCTGTATCGTAAGACCACTGTGAGTCGTGGAGACTTTAAAAGTCCTAAGCAAGTTAATTAGCTTCACAAATCTTGCATGAAAAATACCCCCACGAAAAATAGAATCCAACTGAATGGGGACGACAATCGTTCGTTTCCACTGCTAATGAACTCAGAGGCTAAACAGAACTCAAAATCGGCCCCTCAGAGAAGCCAGAATTAAAATGACGAATTGTCCCATGATTGAAAGCATGCTAGGCTTCTGAGCACCGTTGGTAAGGTATGTCCACCAACGGACAAAGCAGCATTTTGAAAACAGATAATAATCACAACTTCCTCAAATAGGGTAATGCGTGGTTAACTAAAGGCCTTTATTGAAAATAAAAAGCATACTTAGGAGGAGGGAGTACAGGTCATCAGAAACTGCTCACAGCGCTTACATATGCGGATAATCAAAGGAGCTCTGGGTGATTTCGTGTTTTCCTTTATTTTTCCTTGCTATCTTGAAGTTTTCGAAAGGAAAACGGAAACTCCAAAATACTCACATGGCTAGAAATATTCATCATCTTAAAAAGGTATAATGATATTATTTCTTCCCCATTAACACGGCCTCCAATACAATTAATGCTAATTGCGTCACCAATAATCACGGGCTTGTAACCGGCGCATAGACTATCAAATCGACGAATGTCGGCATCATGCCAGGCGTCCCATTCAAGGTTTTTGTTTGATCGAAATAGGAGTGCTATTGACTTTACTACTAATATGAGGCAGTTGCCAAATGTACGCTTTAACGGTTTCTGGTAGTGCCAATAGAAATCCCGCTGGAGTGGCGTTCACCCCGTCTGATTTGGTTGCAAGACGAATCATGCACATTGATATATGCTATGAGGCCTTAATCTGAAGTCATTATAGTTATAGAATCGCAAAAATTCCCATAGCAGCAATCAGAAGACGAGGTAGCGAGCACACGTAGCTTTCGATAAATTCTCGTCGGGCCAGTACAGTTATATGGGAAGGGGGTAGAAGCAAAACATGTCAACGATAAGATAAATCGATAAAAGTTCTTATTAAAACACAGACAGGGTGTGGGAATGTGGGGGAGGGTAGGGGGAGTAATAGCACTGGCCCGACGAGAATTTATCGAAAGCTACGTATGCTCGCCCCCTCGTCTTCTCAGTATAGTTAATCGCCTGGCTGTGCGTGAGCAGTCTTCGGAACGGTGAGCAAGTGAAGAAAGGGAGAGGGACGGAAACAGCCATTCCTGCCTCCTCCCCGCCAGTCAGGCCAAGAATGCTGCTGTCAGGTGAATCTAACGCTGCCGACGCGGCATCTCCTTCTGGTTCAGACCGCTGGCTACATCGATCCGGGCCGAACCTCTGACAGCTGACCTGGGGTTGGGGGAATGGCTGATGATGCTTTGCAGACATCCCTTCCGGCCGGACTTGTCATTTTTTGGCAGGCGTTCAAATTAAGAAGGGTTGCATCGATGAGGTTTCGAAGCTGATTTGTAGGGGAGGAGATTTGGAGTCACCTTCCACGTTTTTTGGATTAACAGACTTCTAGCCACTTGTGTGGACCATATGTCTATGTAAAGTCTACTTTTTCCGTCGATTTTCGCAGCTCGATTAAAGAAACGCACAGAGCAACTAAAGGATACACAAAAATGATGTATTTTGTAGGGATTCAGGTCTCATTTAAGTGTTGTGCTTGGGGAGGAATGTTGGTTTATTTTTTATGGAAGCTTCCAGTGCCTGCACCTCTGAAAAATCGCCTACACTTTCGTTACTCGTTAGGATATGAAAGGCATACATTAACTGAGTTCTACGGGGAGAATCCTCATCATTAAGTATCCTCACACATATGAGGCTTCTGTTATTCATAAAGTGTTACAATAGCACGGCATAAAAAACTGGAGGAAAGTAGACAACTTGAGGAATCCTGTGGCCATTTAAGGGATGTTCGCAATTACAAACTTTCCAAAACTAATGTTTTTTCGTTACACCATGTACAAAATTTGACCAACGTATCTCCACATGTACAGTGCGTATGCCCTCTCTCCGTAGAATGTGGTTAGATACGACACGACAGTCTGGTCGTCGTTACCGACGATGTCCACGGTGTGCTCCACTGAAAGGTAAAGCAGGTACGGCGACTTGTGCGTGGCCTAGTTTGTAATGACCATAGACTTGCGAAGCATCTATCGCACTCCCGCCTCCGAACTCCCCACCTAGACCCCGTGTCAAGAAGACCGGAAGTGGGGGAGGGCGCAGATGGATGGCGCGGTCGAGCCCACACGTTGGCGTTCCAGTACACACCACCTGGTCCACACATCAAGTGACCAGGTTTTTGATCAACAGCAACAGAACCAGCAACAAAAACACCCCAACAGGGGCCAGGAGGACGAGGATAACCGGGCAGCCATGCCCACCACTTGTATACCCAGCGGGAGCGCAAGCGCATCTACCGACAGGGAACCAGGTTTTAGGGAATTGCCAGGCTGCGATGATCATGGTTTGCTGATACTGACATAGCACATGCTTACAGACCTTTTGACCAGTTGGATACAAACATACATGGACGACCAGTGAAAAAACGTGTATTATGGTAGGGGGCGATCACCGGTCGTTCTTACGGAACTCACTTTACGTGCTCTCTCTCGAGCCCAACCAGCAGCCGCACAGAGGCGCATGATATAGGCAGTCAGTATGTTATTACCGACAAACACAAGGGAGAGCGTCCCCTACCATTATATACCCCCGATCGAAACCGACAGGGCAACGGACTCGGGGCCCAGTGGTTAGAGGCGTGGACTTCTAATTAACAGGTCGCGAGTTCGAGCCCCGGGTGTTCCACACTTCGGGGTTGAGTACGGCTAGCTGACGACAGCTAATAAGCCAGAAATGGCCTTTCCAGTGTCCGTTGTCTTTGTCGGTAATAACATACTGCCTATAAAACGTGTACTAGATATCTACCGATTTTTGGAATGAAACCCACTCAGACCCCTGGAAAGATGCCTTGTCGGGGGTCAGAAGACCACTGTTTGGAAAGGGACCGTAACCCCAATTTTCCCCTAATTATTTTCGCCAGATCACCCCAACAATCTCTTACATTTGAAGGCACGTCGAATAAGTTCAGTCACTTTCTGTAACTTAAAAGACTAAGGGCTTGATGAAGCTCGCAGCCTACTTAGTAGGGCGCTGGTCCAACAACTAGACTCTATTATATAAAGTTCAGGTATATGGAGATCAGTCAACCACACGAGAATGATTTCTACGCGAAGGAACTTCGTTTGGTGAGAAATTATAATAATAGTTTTGCCAATGGAAGCGACGAGACGCGTCCCAGGAAGTAGTCTTGAAGAGGGAGACACGATCGCTGGAACAAGAGCTTCATTAGCCTGACGTTTCGGATTCCTACTGGAACTCATCATCAGAGACAAAAACAGACCCGTATCTGCTTTTGCCTCTGATGATGGGTTCAAGCGGGAATCCGAAACGTCAGGCTAATAAAGCTCTTGTCCCAGCGATCGTGTCTTCTTCTTCTTCTTCTTCTTCTTCTTCTTCTTCTTCTTCAATAATATTTTTAATGATAGTTGAGGCGGGCTCTGTCATTACAAAGTTAAGAAATCGTCACGGATAAGTCTCGGAACAAATAAGCTGACTTGTGCAGTTGCCGATTTACAAATTAGTGTTTTAGGGCAGTTTGTATGAATAGGGGAAACTGACAGCTGGGTCTTACTAGGTGGTTGATCGCGTGAACCACGGTCTTAATGCGCAAGAACTTTTGTGACAGAAAACGCTAAAAAGCACAGGCGATTGGTGATTCTCATGGCTAAATAAAACGCCCGCATTTTCCGTATTTCCAAATTCAAATTTGACGGTGGACTTCCTCAGGACCTCGTAAGTTTGAGAAAATAAACCCCCCGGCTTCTAATGTTGAACCGCTGTACTACTGTTTTTGGCTTCAAAAATAGTTGGGCGTTGGATTGCTTGCCGTTTCACAAGTTTACGATTTCAGGAGCTTACGACGTACACCTTCCTTTTGAAAGCACTAAGCTACCGACACCAAGGCCCGAGCCAATCCAGAGTAACGGTGGTCGTGGCCGACGAGCGGATTATGGAGGCACCGCGTCGTTAAGCGGTGGAGCCCTGGTGGCCTTCCCGACCGCCACGAACAAGCGCACCGGACGGAAGCTGCTACAATGCCCTGTACCCGGCTGCGACGGCAGTAGTCACGCTTCAGGCAATTACGCCACTCATCGCAGTCTCAGCGGGTGTCCCAAAGCCGACAGAGCACTGGTGCAGGCATTGCATGTGGAGCAAAAGTGAGTCTGGTCTTCAATTGTGGCTATTTTTTCTACAAACTTGGACTGTTTTGCCACATCATTATCATAGCTACTATAAGTACCACTTCTGCCAGTAGTAGTATAACTACTGCCACCTATATCACTTCACGACTTATACCAGCCGGTAGTTGGAAGTGGCAAGTTTGCCTGACATTATCTCCAGTCCAGATGCTTACACTACTACTACTACTACTACTACTACTACTACTACTACTACTACTACTACTACTACTACTACTACTACTACTACTACTACTACTACTACTACTACTACTACTACTACTACTACTACTACTACTACTACTACTACTACTACTACTACTACTACTACTACTACATCTGGAACGGCTTCTGCAGTACGCGCCCTCCTCCGTAATTGGCAGTAGTCACAATAGTCAAGCACTATTCCAAGAAACGGCCGATATACAATTTAACTTTAAAAGCATTTTTTGGGAAGCCACATTTTTCCGATTATCCGGCTCAAAATCCTAAGTACATGGTTTAACAGTGCTCAGGAATGGGTATATGCTGGGAAACATAAAATATTCCTGCCATTTTTCATTTACTTGATGACTGGCGTCTGACTCGCAGCCCCATCCAAGGTCACCCAGGAAATATTCGAATACAGCCAATGACCGATCTCATAAAATGTTAACCAGAATTCTGAAACACATTTTTATCGAGCGTTGCAGTATTGATTATCCTACGACGTAATCCCATAACATTTCAGACTCGCCGGGTTGTTGGCTTTGGAATGCACTTATTTTCGGCCAGCAGTAAAAATCACATCCGACAAAAAATGACTACTTAAGCGGTGTGTATTATTTCCATTAATTTTTAATATCGTTACAAATTCAGATACAGTTCATAGCAAACGTGCATTACCATGTCCTTTCTTGCACTCATTTGGTATCAAATCACATTTTTTCTACATCCCATTGTCGAAGAAAGTGTACCTTTCGGCTTCTAGAATGTTTTTGAATTCCCGGATAACTTCGAGTCCGATCTGCCATTGCATTCATTTTTGGAGTTTCTATCCTACTAGCTGCCAATTTTTAGTGCAAAGAAATTCACACATTTCAGTGCGACCACAGGAAGTAGTTATACAGGCCTCGTGAAATTTTGCAATGGATGTGGACTATACCGCGTACTTAATGAGGAACATTAGTAAATGTACAGATACAATGCTGTATGAATGGACATTTAAACGGCTTAAAAAACTTAGAAAATGTAAACTTTCTAAAGTCATGAGCCACTCTTTCTTCTAATAGAAGATTTAAAGGCATAATTTTCAGCAGGATTAGTTCAAGAAAGGTAATTTTTGTGCATGTCTTCTGCAGCATGTATTTTGAATTACGAGGGCGTCGAAAACCAACAGAAAAGATGCATGCTAATAAAGTAGTTAATTTTCACCGAGTGAAGTTTTTACAGGCGGCCAAAAAGGAGTGCATTAAAAAATCCATATCGTAACGAGTTTGAAATGTTACGGGATTACGCCGCAAGGTAATCAATGTTATAACCCGCCTTAAGTAATCATTCCCGATAGAAAACGCATTTCAAAATTTCAACTAACTGTATATCTGGGATTACCGGTATGCTTTCTAGGCAGAATGGGTAAATCAGTGAACCAGGTAGACATTTGAACAAGCATTCTAGCGGTATGAATGTGACGATTTGTTCACATTTACATGGACAGCTTTTAAGGTTTATAGTTACGAGGAGCCCACATGTTATGAAATGTTTAGCACTTTTTCTAGAGACTCGAAACAAATTTTTTTAAGCAGTAGATGATATAACACTTAAAAAGTGATGGCAGACATCTAGATGAGCTGTCTAAGCAATATTTTTTATTAATTAAACACGTCCCAGAAAAGTTTTTTTCCCAGGAAGAATATGTTACTGAGTTATTTCGTGGGAAAAAGTTCACATTGTTGAATGTCCATCAGTGTTTCCTTTTCTATGCCAGTAACCACCACAGGCCGTATCTGCGCATTTGTACATGCTTCATTTGTGGCAGAAGTCGATGTGGACCGGAAATATTTAGCAAAACTTTTGTCACCAAATGGGAACTCGACTTTCAATCTGCGTAAATCGGCTGGGACAAGATATGGATGAACGCGTTATTTTCGGGCAAAATTATGACCCATACACCTGTGCGCATTTTCTTGCGCGAATACACCAGAAACGCCTACAGGCAATCTTCTGTTTTAATACACTCGTAATTTCAGACATATACAAGTATTCGGTCAGATGTGGTTATGTAGCCGCACCTGAAGTAAACAAACCCCAGCCATCTGGAATACGAAACCGATGTTAATAGGGGATTTTTACAGGTGGGGTCGGGAAACGCGCAGGCGACGGGGTCAAGTAGTTGTATACAAAAGAAAATCTACTGGGAATGCGCGGTTGTTCTTTGAGTGGTTGAGAAATAGTAGCCCTAACCCCCTAACCCCAAACGCCTAACGCTAACCCATAACCCAAATCCCTAACCATAACCCCTGACCTCAACCCCAACAGCATTGTGTCCATTAGGTGGGACTACAAAAACACAGCTGAACAATGTTGCATAAATAGCCGCACAAATGCTCACCACAAAATGGCCTTTTTGACTTTTCAGTATAATTTAAGCTATTTTTATGCGGAGTGGTCTCTGCAGACTGAACCGACATAGCTCCAGCCATTTAGCGTTTAACTGGTCACGCAGGACTGCATTCATAATCATCAGACGGAGCCCACGAGTAAGTAGAGATACAGAACATATCTGTCTGTGAAGAGTAAAAGTGGGCAAAGTGTCCCGTTCGCTCCTGGATGTACTTGAGATAGGGACGAGGCGTGTAGACATTTGCCAGTCATGCAGTAGGTGGGCTAACTCATGAAATGTCAACCGGAAATCCGAAATGCGTGCTCGTTTCGAAAAGATTAATTAAGTAGGCTTGTAAAACTAGTCAGCCTGCGACATAATTCTATAATATTTTAGTTACCTCAGGATGTCGGCTTTCGAACGAACTTCCCTCCGGCTGCATGCAAAAACTACACTCTCCGAAGAACGAATACTTAATTAGCACACATTTTTCCAATATATGTTCGATGCCCCTAAAAGCCCTACTAGATTTAATGGGAAACACACAAAAATATCCAATCATTTGCTCATTCGGTAAAAAATTACGTCTTTTAATTTTATACTCAAAGGAGGGATATAATTCGGTCTAAATATTTTATTGGTGAGGGTAAAGCAAATGGGTGTTTGTTCAAAAGTCCGCCTTCTCGTCTTATTTAGGTAGATGTGCCTTATAACGGTTTGCCTGACAATAGGTCATAACAGGAGCTAGGCGACACTCGGGTTTTGCCTTGTGACGTTAAAGTTGCCCGTATCGGACTCAAGGTTAGGGTTAGAGCTATGGTTAGGTGTTGAGTTATTGTGAATAAGGAGACGCGATCGCTGAAACAAAAGATTTATTAGCCTGACGTTTCGGATTTTCACTCGAATCCATCATCAGAGACAGAATCAGATAGGGGTTATTCTTGGGACAAGGGTTGCCAGGCTTGGGTTATGTTTTGGAGTTGGGCTTAAAGCTAAGGTTGGAGTTTTTGATTTATGGCTGAGATCAGGCGTAAGGTTATAGGTTAGGGTTGGGGTTCTGGGGTTAGGCGTTAGGGTTAAGGTTTTAGGCCTTGGGTTAAGGCTACGGTTACTTTCGAGAGTTCTTTGAAGGCTTATGGGTGAAGGATTGGGACTATCATTACAAGCAAGGATCATAGTTGGCTACAGATTTCCCGATAGGGCGATATACCATACCGTTGCCATGTCATTTTACAAGTTTTATGCTTGTGTTGCAGTATTTACTTAGGCGACGGCACGAACGTTCATCAAAATCTCCTACGAATCAAGTGTGCTCATTTGTCACGACACGCTCAGCATTCGGTATTTGTGTTATTTAAAGAAAACTAATCTGTCATGTTACTTTCGATAATTACCTTGCGTTTTCATCCAAATGAATGCCAGCCATTAACAATTGGGAGTTTTGGTCGATGCATTTGAGGCTATTTCGGATTGATTTGAACTGATTTTATGCATCACCTACTTCATATGTCAAAAACGGAGGTTAAAGTGTGAAATATGTAATTCGTGTCTCGCCTTTCAATGGGACATCGTTGGCCACTGGAGAGGTTCTGGATGGAACAGCGACGTGAGGCTTTTTGTACTTTACGAAATGCAGTCCTGTTTAAGTATTACTTCTCAAATATTTAAGTCGAGGTTTTGTATGCGTAGGTGCCCACTGTGTGCGGGCGTACCAACAGTTTGCTCTCGACCTCGTGAACTACGCCAAACAGTAAGTGAACTCGACTATCGTCCCAAGAATGCACCATTTAGAAATCAGCGATCCTAAGTACAAATGATAGGCGAAAGTTTGCAAAAAATGTGTTAGTAGGCTGCCAAGATGACATTTTTGGAGAAAGGCTCAACTTTCGAAAGGCGCAATTTGCAGACAGCCCAAAAGATTTTAAGCAAAGTAATACAGACTACCTGGAAAGGCATACGAATAAAGCATAATCGGCCGATCGTCAATTCCGGGTGTATTTTGGCCAGATTTGCATGTTTGGTTGCCTTGGCGAGAACGGAGATGCTTTCAATGGGACTGTGGTGCGAGAGGCATACAACTGTCATAATTACGAAGGTGAGGTGATGGGACAGTAAAAGTAAGCACACGTACAGAAGCCTACCTCTGACGGCAGGCAAGTGCCGTTTCCAGGAATCGCCTCCCGCCACCATCTGCCACATCGTTTTAAGGATCCCACAGGGTGGCTATATAAAAACCGACACTTTGCTTAACCTTAGTGCTTCGCTCATTCCATTCAAAAATGACATATATGCAGCAGGTAGACCACACGAAAAGTAACGTTTCATATTTTCAAAACTGAAAATAACTATTCCATGACAGTCATTTTTATGCTATATCACAGCATTTTCCAAATTGGAAAGCGGTTTAGGCTCATTTAAACGAAGAACTGCCTGTGTGTGTTATCAGTGCAATGCAGGACACGAAATCACACAGACTTCCGAATTCGATTTATAAAAATCGACAAGACGTCTAGATCTCTAAAAACAACCTGCAGAAAGGAAGTCCCAATTACATTTGGCGCACAAGCCGACGACTACACTTCGTAACCAGCTTGCACAACCTAAGGATAGGGTTGGCCATTTAGATAAGAATGAAGTCGTCTATAAGATACCATGCAACACCTGTAATGCGGTTTACTGCGGTCAAATCGGGAAATCGGCCTCTGCACGAATACACGAGCATCAATTGGCCGTAAAAGGCGAGACCACTTGTCCCAAGTTGTTATACATACGCTGGAAACTGGACACAAATTCGCTCGGGAAAACACTCGCATTGTAGGTGTCTGCTCCTCTAAAAAGGGCGGCGAATTTTTAGAGGCCACCAATTTTGGTAGCTCACGCATCAGCCGACACGTAGAATTGGATGCGAAAAGTGGAAAATGTGTTCGCCAATCAGAACATTACGCCAGCAGGAGTGACAGGGCAAAATTGATTTTTTGACATGTCTTAATGTTTACTGATTTGCACATTTACTTCAGGTCTGAGGACGACTTGGGGAATTAAAGTCCAAAAATTAAACAATAAATTTGTCTATATTTCCCAAAGAACTTATCTATTTCAAATATATATGTGTAGAAAGGGATTAACGATTAAGACAAGGGAACTGAGACAGCCATTTCCGGGTTATAAACGTCGTCATTCAGCCCTACACAACCCTAGGTTTGCAGGATTTGAGACCCGCATCCGAATTTTTCGGTCGTTGAGAGTTTGCAGACCTCGAGGCAAACAGGACGAGCATATTCCGTAAGCTGAGCAATGAACGTCCATGCCACAGTGTGCGAACGACGGGACGACGGGTCCCTGGATCAACTGTAGAAAGTTGGATTTAACAACGCTTGATGATGGAGGAAACCAGATCTTAATCTTAGCTTCTGCGAACCTGGGACTGGGTTAGGCTGGCCGAAAAGATATCCCAGGCTCATTTCCGTTTGGCGGGACCCCTTCCTGCGTATGCACATATGCATATTAGAAAGGTGAAGTTCTTTGGGAAACAGCAAAGTTTATTGTGTAAATTTTCGAGACTGGTTCCCCAGCTCGTCTTCAGACAACGGGCGTAATATGCATATGCATATATCGCGTTTGTTATCCCCCAAAGAAGACAAAGAAGAAAAACCGAGTTTATGGACTGACTTGTATCCGTGCTGACGTTTCTGCAACCTTCAAATTTTCATCAACAGACTAGTGCTGTTTCTGTTTAATCGCAGCACTCGACAGAATATGTGCTCTTGGCTCAGTAACTGAGATTTTGTTTATGAACCGCCTGAATTAGAACAAAAATGCAGCTCTCCCAGCTTGTTTGGCTGACAGCGGTCAGTGGGATTGTAAATAACACTCAATCCCGCATTATGTTTTTGTCGGTTAGCTCGTCGTTTCTTCTGGTAGTTAATTGGCAGGATTTTTGCATTCTACTTAGATGTCCCACCCCGGGCTGTGACGGCTCAGGCCATATTACCCGTAACTACACCAGTCATCGCAGCCTCAGCGGTTGTCCGAGGGCGCACCTGCTGGGCATCAAACGACACCACGCAGGACAGCTGCGGTCGAGCCAATTCCTGACAGCCTCCAATCCCCTGAGTCTGGTCAGTCCCGCCAAGATGCGTCTCCTGTGTGTTGCTACTGCTGCTGCTGAGAGAAGGCTGGCGGAAAAGGCGGACGAGAGAGGAGAGGATCGTGCCGAGGGCTCGCTGAGGAACCACGTGAATGACTTCTCAACCAGCAGAGTCGCAAACGAGGAAGTGGATTCCCTGAAGTAAGTAACGGAACGTTGAAAGGGCAACAACTTGGCGTTTGCTCAGACGCCAGTTGCTTAAGGCTACTTTTTTTTCAACTCGGGGCGGAGACAAGCAGGGGAAAACAAAAGTGGACTGAAGCGTCCAAAAAGCGCTCCAATTGCGCCTAAGGCCCTCCGCACATTCTGCCTTTGGAAGAGGTGTACATAAAGATCAATACATTTGCCCTTATTACACCCTTTCAGGTAATGTACAAGTATAAGTGAAGAAGAAGAGTCGGGCACCGGAACGCTTTGTTTATTGTACTGAGCATCCAGACTCGTACAGGAGTCCATCGTCAGAGGTAGTAGCAGCAACAGAACAAGTGACAGTCATAAGGCATGTAGGCCAATCATCGACCGACGGCGCAAGACTGGAGGTGACTACGCAGGGCTCTGTACGCCGGCGCCAGGTCGATAAATCGATTGACCGAGTTCTCATCCGAGGCCCAGGCTCCAATCAATTCTCGGCCTGTTTTGTTTCTGGCGTGAGCGACTATTTTGGTGGCTGCGACGTTAAACTCGTGACCCATTTCGTGGGTGTGGGCGGCCACTTGTGATAATGCGTCGCCTCGTCGCACAGCCAGCTTATGTTCGTGTATGCGCGATCCGAGCATGGGCCCAGGCTGCCCTGTGTAGTTACAAGGACAAATCTGCCACGGAATACGATACACTTCTCTAGATTTCTCTTTAGGCTTTAACCGGTCTTTGATTTTCATGACCCTATTGCTCATGGCGGCTATGGGGCGGTGTGTAATGCCAACACCTAGCTCCGCAGCAATGCGCTCAGTCGCTTCTGAAACACCTTTGATGTATGGCAGAGAATGCCATATCGTCGGTGGCGTTGATGTTCGAGTTCTCTGGTGGCGACCGCGTAGGCAGCGACTTATGAATGCCCTCGGATAGCCATTTTTCACAAAATGGTCGCGGAGATAAAGGGCCTCACGTGCTCTGTCCTCCGGTTTGCTGCAATGAGTTTGGATCCGTTTGAAGAGCGTCTTTACACAGCTTCGTTTGTGAGCCACCGGATGGTTGCTGTGAAAACTGAGAAGCTGTGTGGTGTTCGTTGCCTTCCTATAAACCGTCGTTTCATGGTCACCGTTAAAGTTTCGTCTGACAAGCACATCCAGGAGGGGCAACTGCTGTTCCTGTTCTTCCCTCGTGAATTTTTTTTATCAGGGAAGACTGCGTGGAGCAGGTTAAGAAATGTTACAGCATGTCCTTCTTTACGATGACGAACGTGTCGTCTACGTAACGGCGCCAAATATAGGCAACTGAAACCGCTCTAGCTCGATTCTATGGTCTGCCAAAAATCCATAAAGCGTACGGAACCCTGCGTGGTCACCTCCAGTCTTGCGCCGTCGGTCGATGATTGGGCCCTACATGCCTTATAACTGTCGCTTGTTCTGTTGCTGCTACTACCTCTGACGATGGACTCCTGTACGAGTCTGGATATTCAGGACGGTAAACGAAGTGTTCCAGTGCACGACTCTTCCTAACTTATGCATACACCTGGAACTCGAAATTTCGCATTATCTATCCAACTACTTTGAATCCACCTCCTCTGTTGGCGCTGCTGATACTTACATCGTAGGAGATCAGACTGCTAAAGTTTGAACGGTGGAGCCGCAAACCTCCAGAGGTCCATTGACGTGAATTAAGCGTCTTCTGGAGTTGCGGAATGAACAAAGTTTCCCAGGTTATTTGGCAATCTTAAGCTAGGACAGGAATCTCCGACAGCATTTACCGCACTCCCTCCTCCATAATCCACCTTGGCACGATGGTAGGGCAATGTCAAGATGGCTAAAGATGGGCATAGCACAGTGACTGACGAAACTAGACAACCCCTCTACGCGTCCCACACACGAACTGGGCTCCACAACACCTAGCAGGCTTCCGTGAAAGCGACTCGGATACCACGTATGTGAAAGGGCCACCTCACGAAGCAAATATTACAGCCTCTCTCTCAGTTCCCTTGTTCACGCAAGCAGACCTTACTTCAAAGCCTGAGTTTTGTCATCATCTGGCAATCACGATCACTGGCGTGCGACTTCTGATGACGGCATGCGATATCCGAGTTAGACTGACGCCATTTCAGTAGGAGATTGCATGTTAACAAATTGGATAGGTAAAATAAGTAAAAAACGATTACTGGAAAAGTGCTGACAAAGTCAACTTAATGACTTTCTTTCCTGTTTTTTTTTCTAGAGTCCTCGGTCGCACTTCGGAAAAGGAAGAAGGAGAGTCAGGTAGGGATTTGATGTTAATTTTAGGATCAACTATCAGAACTCGTGTCGCGGTTGTAATACCAAGTGCAGCTAGGACAGATGCATGAGTTAGTTCGTCACTTTAACAACCAAAACTCTTTATGTAATAAACTAGGGACGATAGGTTTGTTCGCCGGGAAACCGGTTCCTCACAGTCTACTGTAAAAGTTTCTGTAATTAAACTTGCTTAACAGAAAATACCGAGGAATGGTCGATAAAGACGACATTTTTAATTGTCTTTTTTCAGCTCGTTTGGACCAGTTTTCTCCGTCAACTGAATATGCCGGCAATGCGGCAAACTTTGAAAACAGTCATTCGACCCCCGCAAGCTGTTCAAGGGAACAGGCCGATTTACACCTTTCCTCCTCTAGTCCAGTCTCCTGGCGCGAATATCAAGATGGTGGAACTGAAACAGCATTTGCCAGTCAACCCAACAGCTCCCAATTCACAAGCATTAATCTTCTTGTAGGCAGATCAGAGGAACCGGAGGGATCTGCCTGATTCCTGGAAAGAAACTTTCCCTCTATGAATGCATCCTTAACATACTTCAGTTCTTTATTTATTTTGCTGGAATGCCAAATATGCCTTAGCTGTCACATGGATCTGGTTCGCTTTCTTTATTATAAAGATTTCAAAGTTGAGTCCTAACGTCCTCCTCGGGCTAGAAAAAGGTTAATTCAAAGCGGCTTCAAACAGTCGACATGGTATGGATGGTGGGAATATTATGCGGTCCTTGGTGTGACAATCCTGTGTTTTTGAGCACATTTCCTCAGGTGGGCAGAACAGAGAGTACTATGCGTACGTATAGCGAACAAGATTGCCTTAAAGGCAGAATAATATTACCGACAAATACAAGGGAGACTGGTATGGCTATTTCTGCTTTGCTAGCCGTCGTCAGTCATTCATAGCCAACTCCGAGGTGTGGAACACCTCAGTGGTTAGGGGCGTTGGACTTCTAACTAGCAAGCCTCAGGATCGAGCCCCGGTTGTTCTACACCTCGGGGTTGGGCTTGACTGGCTGAAGACACCTGATAAGCCAGAAATGGTCATTCCAGTCTTCCATATCTTTGTCGGTAATGTTACTCTGCCTATATCATGTGCCGCTGTGCGGCCGCTTGTTGGGCTCGAGAGAAAGCTCGTAAGGCCCAACGAGATAAGTGAGTCTCGTAACACGATCGGTGAGCGTCCTTCTACCAAAGTTTTCTTGTATTCGGTCCTTTCTATTTAGCCCTGATACAATAATAGCACTGTTCTTTATGTTGCTATCAATATTCCAGTAATACGACCACGAACACTTCTAGGAACGGTACGAAAACTATTAATACTACCACAACTACTGGTACTGCTAACAGTACAACTGTTTTTTGGTAACAGAGTTTTTAATATGATTATCCCGCTTAACGGTACCATAGGTGCGAATGGTACTCCCCGGTGTAATATTACGCTACGTTATCTATCTCATAAAACCTTAACCGATATTCTGAGGTGTTTTGTTGGTTAGAAACGATTACATAGTCGAGGTTGTAATACTGATTATCAGGATATTTCGGTCACACCAGGATACCGAATTTTGAATGAGCTTCTTTCCGGATGCCTGCAAGAACTACACTCGATAAAAAATGGCCACTCAATAATTGTGCATTTTTCCATTGATTTTTGATTCCCTTATAAAGGGAAGCGTATCTTTGCGGAAACATGCAACAATTAGTCTTTCTTGCACTCGTTCGGTGGCAGACTATGTTTTCTTTAAATTTCTTATTTGGAAAAAAGGAAATCTTTTGATTTTTAAAGAAACATTTTAAGTTCTTGAGTAATTTTGTACCCGATCTGCAGTCAGGCTTGCGATAACGGTTTCAAAACTTTATTCTGTATACTTTCTGTTCACGAAAATCACATATTTCTCTATGTTATTAGGAGGACGTCACATAGGTCTCATAAAAATTTGCCGTAGATGTAAGCTATGTTGTATACTTCATAAGTAGTGTTAACGAACACACAGGTGAGTTGCCCTGTGAACGGACGTTTCCCAATCTCAACAAATATAAAAACTACAAACTTCTTAAAACGTACTGATACTCCTTTGCAAATGAAAAGTTTAAAGAAAACGTAATCTGCTGCCAAAAGAATGCAATAAAAAATTTTGCGTGGTTTCTACAAAATACGTTCGAATTTATAACGGAAGCTAAGATCAATGCAAAAATTGCATAATAATTAAGTGGTAATCTTTTTTACCGAATGTGGTCCTTGAAGGCGTCCGGAATGAAGCCCATTCAAAAGCCGGCATCCTGGCCTGACTGAAATACGTTGGGATTGTTCTATAAGATAACCAGTATTACAATCCCATCTACGTAATCCTTCCCGGTCAATAACAAACTTCGGAGTTTCGGTCACTTTACCTTAAGCAATGCGGCATTGGTATGCATGATAACTTTCGGTGATGGTAGTGGAAGTAATAATAGTAGTTTTATGCTCAATAAAAGAAAATTATAGACGGCAGCAATATTATTACTGGTGATGTTGGCATTGGTATTGATGGCAGTTGTAGTAACAAACTTAATCAACAGTAATACGTGCTCCGAGGCGTGTAGAATAGGTCCATAATACGACCTACTACTTATACCCTCAAATCCCAAGGAAGAGCGCGACTGGATGCTGATGGAAAACAGTGGACAGTAAAAGTGATTGTCAATAGGGGCAAAGAAACGAGTCCCAGGAAGCAGTCGTGAAGAAGAAGGCATGATCGCTGGGACGAGAGTTATAATCGCCTGCTGCTTCGGATTCCTGCTAACCAGAGACAATAGCAGATAGCAGTTAGAGTGATTACTGTCTCGTTCACGGTGGTATTAATTACAGCATGTGGTGTTCTGTAGATTTCCGAAGGATGTTAACCATGCACACCCCAACAGTACTGCGATTGACTTACGCTGTTGCTCGTTCCGCTCCGTTGCTGCTACAAGTGGCGGGACACCCCTTCGTGTGCCATGTCTCCGCGTTGCTGGGTTTTGCAAGTGCCGCCTCGAAGACCGTAAGAGACAGCCAAGTAGAGAGAAAGAGAGAACGTTTAAAGGGCTGTTTTTTGGATGCGCCAGTTCAGGCGAACTTCATATACTATGGATGAGCGTGGCGACTGAACACTAAGGTCACACATATTTCTTCTAGACCCTACCACCAAAAATGGATGGTCGTCGTATCTGTGGTCTGCATACCGAATGACTGGCGCACAGAAATCCTTGCCTTCCAGTGGCAAACTTACCCCCCAAAAGCATTTGGCATGATGTATACTTTGCTGGAATAGACTAGGGTGGTCGTCCCTCTGGTCGTCAGCTTCACTAGTTGGTGACGCCGTCTGTAAGTGCAAATCGCCTCATTTTCGTCTTGATACTTCAAGTGCTCCCTTCTCTTCAAACACCTGCCTCACTCGAAAGTCACGCGGCGTGATAGTCCAGCGGATATAAGCAAGCCCTGTCCTTCACCGTTTGACGGACATAAAGTAAAGAAGTGTCCTATCAAGAATAGATGGTTACGTCGAAACGACCCATGAAGTATCAATCAGAAATGCAATCTTACTGTCGTCGGCCAGAAAGCGACTGCCAGATCCGGCAAGGCAAATGTAGTCCGGCTGTCTGTCCCATGTGCAGCACTGGCGACCTTGAACTTGGAATTAGCACAGCATCCGAAGGCCTGTCCGGTTATGACAACTACGCTGGCCTAGAAATCCAGTCTGAAGGAGGAGTTGCACAGGACTTCGGAGCCTGCAGTTTGCCGCCCTAGGCGTTGCCGGAGAAAAGTGTGACGGGTTACATACAGTCCTGTTTTTTTTCCGTTGTTGGCTGACTGTCGACATTTTCGCAGGCTGATGACTCTGGGCAGGATATCTTCAGCTAGTGGCAGTGCTTAGATAAGCAATTCATTGACTCCTGTGAGTCGTCTGTGCAGGGAACCATTAGCTCGTTGAAACGTCAGATAGTTTTCCAGTAAGATGTGTTTATGTAGCCCCACCTAATGGACACAGTACTGTTGGGGTTGGGGGTTAGTGTTATGGGTTAGAGTTAGGGGTTATGGTTGGGGGTTTAGGGTTAGGGGTTATGGTTAGGGGATAGAGTTAGGTCAGTTTTTCTTTTGCATACAACTACTTGGCCTCGTCGCCTGTGCGTTCCCCGGCCCCACCTGTAAGCTCCCCCCCCTTTACCATCGGTCCCCTATTACAAGTGGCTGGTGTTTGTTTACTTCAAGTGGGGCTACATAACCACACCTGACCGGTTTTTCGTCAGTCAAGGACAGTACCCCTAGGACGCTGGCTTCTGCTGCATATTCGCAGTCTTGTTTACGAGCCACGCGCTCGCAGCAATGACGTTCAAAACGAAATAAAACTAAATCACTCAGGCGGTCTGAAAAGGCGGCGAAGGCAGATAAAAGGTAGTTTAGGAACGTGTGTACATCATGCCAACTTAGTGTCGTAGAATTGGTGTTTCCTGTAAAATCAGCACAGCCTTATATGAATAAGGGTAGTAGGTGGGCGTTCTGGTAATCTAAAATAACGAAGTTACACAGTACATTGGAATGGTTGGAATGGTTTTGACTCTGAACAGGTGCAAAACGGACGAAAACAGGGTTTGATAATTAGCATCTTCACAGTCCCCGGATGCGTGCGCTGCAAGTTGCTGTTCACAGTGGGAAAGACAAGGTAAGTTGCGCAGTTAATACGAACAACATCATCGCAGTTTTCTTGGCAAGATAACATTACTGGGGAGTGAGGGCACACTCCATGGGAATCAAGTACCACCGAAAAACATCAGGGTAGAATACGGACGATCTAGCAAACATCTTCTGAAAACCGTTTGAAAAGTTGTGCACAGGGATCTGAGAAACCGCTAATTAATGAACAGCTGAGAATCTGGAAAGCCATACATCTTGGATTAGGTAATGAAGACAAAAAGCATTGTTTAGGGTGACGGCAGAATCGAATACAAAACCAAATTCATAACCAAATGACTGCACAACTCCTTTACTAAGGCTTATCTTTCAAACGGACTAAGGGATGAAAGAGGATGTAGATGTGTCACAACAGGTTCGAGGAATAGTTATACTTTGCGCCGGTAGGCGAGACTGTGGGTCCTATATATATATATATAATAGAAGGTGGCAACATTCTGTAGCCCTCCCATACTATAGCATCTACACGATGTAGAACGGAGGTATGAAAGTCATGCCTGTTACTTTTCCACAAGTTCAGCAGCTTTATATGGCAACCAGGCAAACCAGGTACCTAGAAAAGGCACAGAATCGAGTAGAAAGCCAAATTCTTAACCAAATGACTTCCCTAATCCATTTACTAAGGCTTATCTTCCAAACGGAATAAGGGATGAAAGGGGATGTAGATGTGTCGTAACAGGTACGAGGAATACTTATACTTTGCACCCGTAGGAATGACTGTGGGACCTATATATTGTATAAGCTGGCGACATTCTGTAGCCATCCCATATTGCCGCATCCCCACAATT